GTCAGAGTTAGGTTGATGGTTGGACTACATGATCTTAAAGGTCCCTTCCAACCTAGATGATTCTATGATTCTATGTTTAGAAAAGTGAACAGACTTTATTAGAAGTCTCAAGACTCAACTGTCTCAAACTTTAATTCAAACTGCCTCCTTTTTCAAGTTAGTTGTCAAAGAGGCTTTGAGATAATGAAAGGTGACTGCCATCCTTTACATATACAGAAAAGTATTAAAACTGTCAGTTTATAAACCTTGGAACAAGAAGGATTACATGTGGGGAACAGTAGCAAACTCTAAAGCTTCTGTTTATAATAAATTCCCATGTCCCACTTATTTTCTCCTTTGTTTTTTTTTTAAGTTTCCAAGGACTTCTATTTGAAAGTACCTAACTTGTTTTTCACCTCTCAACTGTTCTGTTTCTTACTTGCTAGAAGTAATTATCATATTTTCTAATAATATCCACTGAAACTATTTTAAATTTCATCAACGCAGTAATTCTCTGTGCTACAAGAGGAATGCTAGCTTCTGTCTAGCAATATATCCTAGAACATATTCTCTGTGAAAGGTATTCCCACATAAAGAAGCATGTAATCCTGTACATTTAAGCAAGATCTGAGAATAGTGTAACTTTAAAAAACAACAAAAACAAACAAAGCCTGTAGAAGAAAGCGCTTCTCCCATCTCAGAAACTGGTTTCTGCGCTGATCTTACCGAGTTCACATTTTGTGGGGCAACAGAAATGGCATCAGGATTCCTCATTAGGTGCAGTGACGATGGGATTCTCCACTTCAAAAATAGCCTCAAATCCCACATTCTTCCATGTACAGTTTAGTTACTCTGGTTTGCTGCATGAGAGCTGGATACCTGCCATAAAATGAAATACAAAGTTTGTTCCATATACTTACTTCTCTGAATAGTGGCTCAAGGAACAAAATCAGAGATAAATCTCCCAAACTCCCAATAGAGTGGCCTCTATTTTAATTAATATTGTCGGTATCCCCATGCTCACCCACAGATAAGTTTAGAGTACAATCTGGTTATTTCTGAGCAGCTGAACATTGGCACAAATTGAGGTAGAAGCACGTGTTATAATTGTCACAAAAACAGCATAGCTTAAATCTTTTTACAATTTTCACCTCAAGTTTACAAGATACGGTATATTAGCAGAATGAATGTTACATATTTTCTCCGTAGATATTCAAGCATTTTGCAGAGACCTATGTTCAGTGCTGTCTCAGGTTTGCTATTACATGGCTCTGGTTCATGAAAGTTATTTATTTTGGCATTTGTGATGTACTTTTGCCATACAAAAGTATGTCCTAAATTTCAGATACTTGAAAGTCCAGAAATTCAATACAACCTCTTCATTATATTGGATGTCTGTTAACATCCTGGTACATAAAAACTGCACAGCATTTGGCAGTATGTATGAGTAACAGCACATACCTCTCAGTTCCTTTTCTCATCAGAAGCAGATTGTCTTATTTCTTTTTATACATATCCAGTCCCGTTCTCGCTATCTGGTTTGTCATTAAGTTGCTAGGAAACTGAGGCCTATGCTGTTTATGGTTTAAAATTTAATTAAGCATTTTGCTCTTAAAATTGTGCAAATGTTACTAGTCAGTATGAATATTATTAGTCTCAGTGTTGTCCTGAACTATTAAGTGCCTCCAGAGCTGGGAATTTCAAAAGCAGACAGGGAGAATTGTGTGTTTATACATAAACATTGTATCTACAAAAGGCAGTAATATGTCTTTTTCATTGGAAAACCACAGAGAAAGATCGTGGCTTTGCATTTCACTTGCAGGATAGAAAAATAACTGTTCTTTTTACGGTAGCTCAATTAGCTCTAATTGCTTCTTTACTCCCATTCATGAGTTATGGTAATAATAAAAGCAGATCCAGCTCTTTAGCCACAATGTATTTTAAACTGGTATTATATGTACTTACAATGTGCTCAACTTCTTTTTCAGGCTAGCCCGGATTCTAGTTCGCCTGCCAGCCCTTAGGCTGATGAGCTCTAGTATTACCGAGGAACTGTTTTTTACTGGTCTCATTGGAAATGTTCCCATTGACAGCATAATCCCCTACATTCTCAAAATGGAAACAGCAGAATATAATGGGCAAATAACTGGCACATCTGCGTAGTGGGAACAACACAATTTGATGGATCGAAGTAATTTTTGTAAAAACATAAAATTGCGAAGTTAAAAAAATAGCATTTTGGTATGTACAGATATTTCCAATTTGTTACCAGTTTCCTGTCAGATTTCTCCTTGTCTGTTTGACGCTGACAAAATTTAAGCAGCTATTAAAATACCTGCTATAGAACCTTTTCAGCCACAAGGAATATTTTTAATGCCTTTCATTTAAAAGGCTATAGATTACTGAAAATACTTTTCACGTGCTTTGTATTTAGAAATTATCAGTGGTTAAAAATAGAGTTTTATAATATCAGAGATTAGTAATAAAATTACTTTAAAAGTAAAAAGAACAGTATGTATATATTTAAAAATATCCTTGGAATTAATATCTAATAAATGCCAGGATATAATACTAGCACTTTGTAAGCACTTCTTGTCAAAGCGACAATGTCATCAACATCCTGCTTATGAGTATGGAAACTGAAAAAAAATTGCCTATGTCCTTAGTCAAAATGCTAGTGATTTCTGTGAAAATGTAGAATGCTACAGGAGACAATCATTTATTCTACAAAAAGATACTTGCTCTTAAGTTATGCATGATGTATTAACGTGGATTCTTAAATCAGATATCCACATTATTTGAAGCTATACTCTATTAAATGAATGCAGTTGTAATTCACAGTACGATGCGGTCATAGTGACAATTACATGCTGCAGGAATTACCCAAACTAGGAGAAAAAATGTGTTTCTTGCCACAGTAATGATGAAATATTCTGGTTCCTTGAAGTTTCTATTCAGACCGACACAATCATGACAAACGTTACTCTAATAGGAAGACTTTTGATTGTGGGGAAAATCAGTCATTAACTGGAAGAATAGTTGTTTTCAAGTAGAGCTGTGTGATGCTCTTTGTATTTCCAAATTTTTCCTTCCTCTGTACTCCTAAACACTCTCTTCGGCCAGCCAAAGGTACAATTCAAACCCTGGAATGTGCAGAGCCTCTGGCTGTCAGCAAGAGCATATTACAAAGCGTTCCCACTTTATTTCTCCCCTAATTCTTCCCTTCCCTGACTGAGCGCTCACACTTTTGCAGTGCTCTCAAACTTCCGTGGCTCAGTTTGAAGCTGAAATACAATCAGGATTTATGTTGTTGTGTACAATTGCAGTTAATGACTGATAGACCATGGAGTTATAGAATTAACTACTTTTTAATTGCCTAGAGTTATGAGCCATCATTGTGTTTTCTAGTGTCAGCCATTAGCTGCTAGCATTGCCTTCATTTTAGTATAGTTTATTATTAAAGACATTAAATATTTTAAGCAATCAAAGTTTTTTTTAAAAGTCATGGTAATTAATACCTTCATCTGATCCTGGCTCAGATGCATCAATTATTTTAATTATTTGTATGGTAGAGGCATTTTCTACTTGCGTATTTTTATGTGACAAAAATCTAATGATAAGTTCTGCACTTTCGTTTTTCTTCTGTTATTGACATTTATTTAGAAACACCAACCAGATTGGTGTTTGTGTCTTTTAAGGGTCTGACTTGTAGCCAAAAGATCTTAAGCAGCTCTAGATGAGGCTTCTGACGTACTAAAAAGTCCTGACCTGGTTTGTGTCATTCTCATCAGGAGGCTCACGGTTGTAGCACTCTTTGTGACACAGAAGGCTACTTAATTTTAGTTTCTGGATGCATTACAGTTTTCTACAGTCACCATTGTTACAGCATTCAGGATCTTCTTTTCTCAAAAGGGTGTTACAAAGAGTCAAATATGCATGCAGAGATTTGTAATATTGCACTTTCATTTCTCTTGGCTTTTGCTATAGCAAACAAAATTGTCATTTTTTTCATATGATGGAAGGTCTGCGCTCTGAATATTAAGTCAACTGGAATAGAGAATTTTGTACTAGCTGTTTTATTGCAGTGTAACTTTTTGTGTGATTGTGTCAGCACTTCGATGCAAACTCCCTGTTTTAAGGGTATACAACTTAAAATCAATTGTGATATTAACAGCATCAGAAGTTGCTACCTTGGAAATAGTTGTGGCCGTTTCTGTTAAAATTTAAAATTTTATTGCATTATGTCATTGTTGTTCTAAAAGCAGTATGCATTGAATTATTGTGATTTTTTCATTGCAAAAAAAAATTATGCAGTTTAATTTGCTTTCAGTATTATGTAAAAATCACTTAAGTGGATAAGTAAGCATCATTAGTGACATCTTTGTGGCCCTTCATTGGACCCTCTCCTACGTGTCTCTCCTCGACTGGGGAGCCCGGGCTGGACACAGCACTCCAGATGTGGCCTCACCAGTGGCGAATACAGGGGAAGGATCCTCTCTCTCAACCCGCTGGCCATGCTTTGCCCAGGGCAGCCCAGGGGACGGTGAGCCTTCATTGTGGCAAGAGGACGTTGTGGGTCATGTTCCACTTGGTGGCCTCCAGCATATATTGGTGCCTGGGGTTGTTCCTCCCCAGGGGCAGGACTTTGTGCTTCCCCTTCTTGAACTGCATGAGATTCCTCTTGGCCCATTTCTCCAGGCTGTCATGGTCCCTCTGGATGGCTGCATGGCCCTCCGGTGTATCACGCAGTGAAGCTGGTCATCTCTCAGTGATCCGGGTCTAACCGAGCAGTGAAGCTATTTTAACTCATTCAAAGAAAGCTTTTTGTTTTCCTTGTCTGTCCATCAATAGGAAGCACAGAACAGATGAAGGGATTCTTTCTGCCAGCAGTTCAGGTGTTTCTTGGTAGCAATAGGAAAGGGCATAGCTAAGGAAAACGGGCCTCACAAAGTTGTCCCTGCTCTGTGTTAACCTTTGCTGTTACCTCCAGCCTTTGGTGCTTGGGCGTTCAGACCTCTAAGAGAGCAGAGGGAGAACAGTGTGCACGGTGCTGCTGCAGGCTCGGGCACGTTTCACACTGTCTCTGCAGAAGGTACAGGGCTGATGTTGTTCTTGTCATTGCTGAGGTTTGTACCACCCCCCTGCCAGTAACCAAAAGATGGTAACAGGCTAATCTTACTCGCTTTACTTCTAAATTAGTTTCATTTGTTTCTTCTTTGCAAGTGCATACTTTTGCTTATGAATATGGGACAGGAGAGGTTTTTTTATTATTGTAACATTTATTGAAAAACTGTTTCTTAAGTATGGAACTAGCTTGTTTTTGTAAAGGCCAAGTGTCAATGCCAAACTGGTGTTTACAGAACTAGGAGTCAAAGGACCATAGCCCTGAAAGTGAATTCTAAGAAAAGTAACATCTCACTGAAGCTCTACTTAGTGCCTAAAATTCACTCTCTCCAGAATTTTCAAGGTCCTGTTTCTGCTGCTTTTGAAAATATATTTAACTCGGTAGAGACGTAGTGATAAAGTATGTGATTAGCTCTGTCTGAACTTGATTACATGTGTATCTTGGTTGTAATGCATTCAGACAAATGTTAGAATTCTGTGCTGACTGAAACTGGGGCACGCAGGAAGCAATAATGAGGCAGTAATGTTCATTCTCCATGTACTCCATTTGTTTTGCAACTTTTTTGAGAAGGAACTGAATTTGAATCTTGTAGAAGAAAAGAACAATGATCAGTAACATATAGGAGTATTCTGGGTTAGCTTTGTAATAATGATTTTTATTGCATTTGTGACCAGGGCAAGAAGGTTTACTACTTTTCCCTTAATTTACTTACATTGGACGAAAGATGAGGAACTAAGCTCATGTGCAGAAGTCACCGTTCTCTCTTTACATGGCTTGTAAATGAGATCTGGTGCTTTTGGTGCCAGGAGAGTCACTCGGGTGTGAAAGTGGTAGAAGAGGAAAAAATAATCTCCAAGGAGAATCCTTCAAAGAGATCATACAAGATTTTAGCTGCCTTAAAATGTTAGTTTATTAAGGAGGCTTAGTTTTCCGAGCACTCTGGGGCAAGAAACCATTGATGGTCACCACTGATTACTTGGTACCATTTACCAAGTCTCTTTTTGCCCTTGGGGCGAGGGGGGACTGAAGGTGCCTGTGCTGGATGCATCCTCCCTGGGGTACCCTTGGCCAAGGGCTCGTTCTGGGGTGAATCAGGCCTGAAGCTTCCAGGCAAAACCAGTTTCCTGACTGTGTTTCTTCTTTGGCAGAGACTGTAAAGCACTGCAATGTTTTCCTTGCTGTGTGTAGCACACAGGACTTTCACAGATTCCTGAACGATTCCATCAAAGATGCTGGAGATGTCACTACATTTTTCTGGCCATTATAATTAAGACAGTAGTTAGGATTCTTCCCTGATTACCTGCTATTTAATTTGTAAGGGGTAATTTTAAAAAGGCCCAAATAGCATGAGCAGCAAGGGTATCAGGAACACAGTTTAGCCAGGAAAAGGACTGGAAATCTGTGGGCTGAGGATGCTGCTCAAGCATCAGTGATCAGAGCAGCTCCCTGCGACAGCCACCCGTCGGGGCCAGTTCGGGGTGGGTGGCGTGAGCAGAACTGGCCAGTCTGTCAGCCACAGAGATTGCACTAGCAAATACCAACAGGATGATACCACCCTGAAAAGAAAAGAAAAAATACATCAACATGTTGTTTTTCTATTTTAAATCCCTCTCCTCTCCTGCAGTTACTCTTTAGAGTGCAAGAGCAGGGTAGGTGGGTTCTTTTCCATCTACTCCTGCCTGTAAGAGAAAAAGCAGAACTACCAGGCAGAGGGGAAGCAGGTTCCCATCTATGCTGGTATTTTGCCAGCTCACCACAACCCACAGAGCTGTGTGGTCCGCTCTGATGATGGGCCATGAGAGCAGCACCAGCATCTGCAGCCCCGATTCCCTACAGCCGGGGAGGGCAACGAGCTGAGGCCATGAACGCCGTGCAGAGAGAGAGGACAAATTGCCAGCATCTACAGGAACTTGAATGACAGAAAGTTAGTTTAACGAACAGCTTTATATGACAAATTAACAAGAGGGCATGGCAAAGGAGAGGAAAGGAAAACTTTGTGCACCTCTTGATTCTGAAGTTGCTGAATCATTTTAACAGTAAATTCTTCTGAACTAAGTTTAGGCTTATTGTTTGATGGAAAATGCCATAACGCCTCTTTTTACATAATGCTACAGCCCCACTTCTGCAGCAATCAATGTTATCAACATTATATGGGGACTTATTTGTGCAAAAAAAAATTAGAACATTATTTATACTGAGGTTGCAAGTTGAAGTTTTCGTAAAGTTTAAATGCTCTAAGTCTAAATATATTAGACTTGGAAAACATCAAACCCCAGAATTACCTTATTACTGAGCTTTTTGTTGTGAAGTCAAGTTGCAAAGTTCCTCATAGCTAATAACTGCCATAATGTTCCATAATTCCTACAGCCAGTTTTCTCCTCTGAGTTATATGAATGCTTTGAAAATGGCTTATTATTGTTAAATTCATGCCTGTCTTCCTTCTTTTTAAAGGGTTTGATAAATTTTTACACATTTTATTTTGTGCCTCCCACCATTGTGCATTTCTGCATGTCCAATTCTAAAACTCACTCGAGCAGCTGATGCATATGTACATAGTTGTATGTATGTGTGTATGAATGTATATGTTTATACCTGTCTAAATATATTATGTACAGTGTATAGAAAGTGTGTAGTGTATGTATATATGTACAGATATGTAGCCATGTGTTCACACCGTTCTGTGTGTTAAAGCTTTTCATTCATTTGCTAATCCAGAGCTTCCTAGTTCTCCTTTCTTAGCCCAAGCTAAGCCTCGCTTAAGCAGGTGAATCCTCATGAATTTCAGAGTTTTGTACCTTTTTCTAAACCCAGCCTGATTTTAGTATTTTCTGTTCAGAACTGACAAATATATTCCATAAATTTTCTGGCTTTTACAGTACTCCCTCTACCTTTTCTCATTTGACATGTAGAAGCCTGCCAGTGAATAGGTAATTGAAGATATAATATCTTAAAAATAAATAACCATAGTCACAGAAAATACTCTCCTGTTTTCAATATATACTCATTCTGTTTCAGCCTTCTGAGAGACTTTTTAGGAAAGTTTTCTTTTCAGTGAAAGTTGGTGTAAGAGATCGATTTATTATTTTTTTTAAAGTCTTCCGCAGTGGCTAATTGGAGAAAAACAAGTTGCCCTTTAACATTGAACTGTAGCACACAGAACAGGATGCAATGGATGGTGTTTAAAAAGTCAATACTGACATTGCCATAATGATCACATGAAACCAAACCATTAGTTAAACAACGACTGTGTCCTCTCTTCAACGGAATGACAACATTTCTGTTACAGTGCTAATTAAATAAGAGGGAGGCTGCTCCGTTTATTTCTTAGCAAGCATCAAGGCTTATTTTGGGTTTTCATGATGCGTTTCAATTGTATATTCACTTTCCGAAGTTACTCTCTCTGTTGCCCAGCTTGAACTAAACGGAGCTGGGCAGTTCATTGGGATGTCAGAGTAACACCCCTTTGGGGCTGCCTCTGGGGGACTGTGACCGGCTCCGGCGCTGGGGGCGTGGGGTGTCCACTGCTCACAGAGTGCTCGTGGAATCACACTCACATTAAGACTGTGAATTACTCATAGGCAGTATTCAGACATTTACATTACCAAAATATAAGTAGTTCTTGTTCCTTTTCCCTTCTGATGACTTTGGTTAACAGAGGAAGCCTTCTGTAAAAGTTACTCTATTAAGTTTGGGTTTTTAAAAAAGCATTTTACAGATTGCGTGGGGGGATAGTTCAGCAAAGTCTTGTTTTTGTCACTAAGAAGGTGAAATGGAATTTTTCTGGGCATATATTCCCACCTTTTGTACTTGGTGGGGCAAAAACTTGTGTAGGTTTAAGCAGATGAGCAGACACCAACTAAGCCAAGGTGAGCTTCTTGCCTGCTGCAAGTAAAACACAGGTCTCTTCAGAGTCAGGCCCTTGTCAGTCTTTGCTACAGCAAGTGCTAAGGATGTTCTGTTTCTGGCCACATTGTTTAGCAAGTGTTTGTAAGCTTTCTTTCAAATACGGAAAAAAAAACTGTAAAACATCCACTTTAACATTTCAAACCTTATTTTTGAGATTTTCAGCAGGAAAATTATTTAAAGTAATGGCAGGAATTCCTGTGACAGAGGGTCCTTCATTGGTGCCTTGACAATCAGTGCTGTTTGAATAGTGTTTGCTTTTCTCTTTAAAGGCTGAATGGAAACCTAACGTCTGTTGACATAATTGTACTGCAGTGACAGTTTTAAAGATTAGGAATCCAATTGGGATATTGATCAGGATTGAATCCGTTTAAAAATTCAGTTGTGAATTTTGAAAAAAACCCCCATATTTTAAAATTGTGAACTTGTTTTATATCCACGTTTGAATTGTTTGTATTCTGAAGGACAAAATGCGCTCATATTTAAGTGGCAATGAAGGCTCTGTTGTAATATTCTGTGCAAACTGTGGAATGTGAAATCACTTTCTGTACGTAAGCACAGAAAGCAGAGGTGTGAGACGCAGCCTATTGCCAGGTGTCCAGCACCCCTGAGTAACTGGCTTCTCAAATATTTTTTAATGATCTCAGATTAATGATAATAAGGCATGGGTCCATTTTAAAATATTTCTGATGATTTTGTGTTAAAAGTAGGACTGAATAAATTTCCAAAAAAAAAAGGATATTCTTTAAGAAGAAAACACCTACAGAGCATATATGTTAAATTTCTCATACGTGGACTCAATGTTAAATGTGGAAATATTTTTAATAATTACTCTGTATTCCAGAATACATTGCAAGCCAGTGTTCTCACAGTTCCACGTTGTGAAGTGCTGTATCCACCTGGAGTTCTGAGCTCCTACAAAACCAGCAAATTTTTATAAAAGGAATAATCTACTTTTAATTCCTTGGGATGTTTTCTGGAAGTCTATGTTCATTATAATTTAGAAAACTACTGTTTATTTTAATATATTTTAATTTCAACTTTAGAAACTTGCAAAAGTTACGTATTTCTCACAGCTTCTGTTGTGAAATCAGCAACTGTTATGTGTGGTAGCCTTTAAAAATAATAGCATGTTCTTTTTTTTAATCTGAATTTTATATCTAATCAATGTCTTCAGTCATGAAGAGAAATTTGCATTGTTGTGTTTGTATATAGAGTATTGCAGTGCATGATTTAGCTTATGCATTTTATTAAATGCTGTTTAAATGTGGCAGTATATTGTTGTGGCTTAATACTACCTAAAGGAGGTTTATACCATTAAAGTAAATTACAAATATAAATGCATTCTGGAGTTTTATTTTTCAGTTCACTTAATTTCTTCTTAAATATCAGGTGCCTAAGCCAAATGCCTAATTTACTGCCTTTTAGGGAGAAACAGTATTTTCCCTTCACTACAGTGATGCTCTTGGGAGCCATTTACCCGGGTCTGTGGGTGCCGGGACCCGCTCCGGCCCCGGGAGGAGGAGACGCACCTTTTCCCAAATGTTTAATTCATCTTCATGAGCCTGCTGGTTCGCTCAGGGCTTCTGCGGAGACAGTTTGCTATTAACGGACAGCACTTGATGTCCACTTGTATCTGGCAGCTCCTTCTGTTCCCCAGATTCTCAGTGAGGGTGAGGCCTCGGCTCTCGTTGGGGGTCACGGCCCCGGGTGCTGCTGAGGCACAGCAAGTGCAGCCCCCGTCTGACAGAGTGGGCCGCGATGGCACTGACAGACCCTTCTTGTCACTGAAACTCTGCAACCTGGAGAAGTTTGTTTGGGGAATCCGGGGGAACCAGACTTCGGGCTTCAACTGCCAAATCTAGGTGTCCAGAAGAAAAACATGCATGGGGGGGGGGAAAAAAAGACCTTTTAATTTCGGGGCCTGCAGTGAAGGTGGGGCTTTTGCTGCCCAAGTTTGAAAAGCCGATGATCCTCTGCCCGTTGGAATCGTGTCCCCGACACGGAGCGGTACCGGAGCCCCCAGCGACAACCCGCCGGGACGCGAGGGAGCGCACGGACACAACGTCACGTGGTAAAGGTCTCGCGCGCACGAGAGAACCGCATCACGGCCCCGCCCCGCCCCGGCAGCCGCGCGCCGCGGAGGGATCCCGTCCGCAGAGGAGAGCCGGATCCCGGCGCGGGGGGGTGCTCGCCGCCATTTCCGCCCGGCGGCGCAGAGGCGCCCCGCAGGCCGCCGCCATGCCCATGAAAGGCCGGTTCCCTATCAGGCGGACGCTGCAGTATCTCAACCAGGGCGACGTCATCTTCAAGAGCTCGGTGAAGGTGATGACGGTGAACTACAACACGGCGGGGGAGCTGAGCGAGGGCGCGAGGTGAGCGCGGGGGGCAGCGGGGCGCGGGCCGGGGCCGCCTCCAGGCATCTCGGCTCGCGCCTGTGTGTTTTTCTTTTCCTTTCCAGAAAGTTTGTGTTTTTCAACATCCCCCAGATCCAGTACAAGAACCCCTGGGTGCAGATCATGCTGTTCAGGAACATGACCCCCTCGCCTTTCCTCCGCTTCTACCTGGGTGGGTGCTGCCGGCGGCGGGCGGGCCGGGGGGGGGGTTCGGGCCCTCACGCTGCCCGCGGCCCCGCGCTCCTCCTGCACAAACTTTGCTTTTCGTGGTGAAACGTTACCGCGTACATTTAACTGTATCAGAGAAGCAGACGTCTTAGTTTTGTGCGTTTAAAACACGTTTTGCTGCTACTGTGAAACGGCACGTGGTCAGGAAGGGGCACTGATACACTGTCACTTTCCTGACAGACAATGGAGAACAAGTTTTGGTTGATGTGGAAGATAAAACCAACAAAGAGATAACCGAGCACATTAAAAAAATCTTGGGGAAAAGCAAGTAAGTAACACTGAATAAGGTAAGGAACAGTCTAGCGTACATCGTAATACAGTCCCTGCAAACATTGGTCAGGTGTACAGCACGCATTTTCCAGACAAAGTCCCCAAGCTAAGAACTCTAAATCCAATCTTTCTGGTAAACTGGGTCCAAGGTAGAAAGAGGAAATGTTGTCCTTCAGTTTCTGACAGTAACAAACAGATCTCTTTTCTAGAGAAACGCTTGAAAAAGAGGAAAGAGAAAGGAAAAAACTTTCACATCCAGCAACTTTTGGGCCTAAGAAGTATCACCTGCGAGAATGCATGTGTGAAATTGAAGGCCAAGTTCCCTGCCCCGCTTTTGTGCCGCTGCCCAAAGAGATGAGGGGAAAATATAAAACTGCTATGAAGAAGGAGGCATCATCCTGAGATCTCACACCCTGCAGCTGTTTTTCCCGCAGGGCTTGGATGATCAAGGTATTTCAGTGAAAGATGAGAGCCAACAGCTCCTGAACACAGGAACAAGCAAGTTCATGTAACATAGAAAACTTTGTCTCAGAAATTATTCCAGCTGTAAGAAGACTTCAGTGAAAAGTAAATAAAAGTTAAAACAAGCTTTTTGAGTGCCAGATTTACAAAGTTTGAAGGAAAAACAGAAGGGAAATAAAATGACTAGAGCCCTGTTTTCCTACTCATGCCTGCACGTAAAGGTTGTGGCAAAAACAAGATGGTGATTGCTTTGAGACAGACTAGACCTGATAGTTAATTATCTTAGAAGCAGCACAGAACTCCACAATTTGTAGGAAGTGGCATAAAGGTGTTCCTGCTGATTTCCATTTTGTACTCACTGAAGACAGCCAAACAATAATGTAACTATATGCCAAATTTTCTGAATCTAGTTATCACTCAAACTATTAGAAGTCTCATGTACAAGATACAACTTTTGCAGTTGATAGTGCAGCTCTGAGAAGCACTGACCAAGTGAAGAATATTAGCAGTAAAGGAGAACGTGTACGTTGGTGTTTGAAAGATGCTTTCCAATTATCTTTGTTGTTCTTCCAAAGCAATTTAGAGCTACTTTTAAATGAAGACAATTTCCTAAAGTCTTCCTTTTAAAAAAAAAAGCAAGCCATACGAAGAACTGTGTCTGAACTTACTATCTTCCGGCAAATTCTAGCCAGAAATTGCATTATGCTTCAAAGTGCAGTGCTGCTATGTCACTCCTTACCTCAAACACTCCTGTTCCCTGCACAACCTCAACAGAACCCTTCTGAATCATCACAGCTTCTGCCTGACCACACAATTACACGGCACCTGTAACAGCATGAACATACAACAGGCTGTACCACATTGCTTGGTAACAGCACGTACCTGTACGTCGGGGTTATATGTGCAAATGACTGTAGAACTGTATCTCAGCATTTCTGAGCTGACAGTCAAGTACAGAATTTCACACCAGGCATTCTGTAAGAAGTGTCAAGGACAAACACAGCACAAAATAAACATGTTGGTTTATTTCATCTGTTTACAAAGTTCCCATACAGAGTAGTGCATGCAATTTCAACAAAAGTCAATGCTAGTTATTTACTGAGCTTTACAGTTAAGATGCCTTCACTGCGTTGTGCCTCACAGCAGTCAAGGTACCAACGTAAGGTCTTTGCTGCGGAGATGACTTCAGGATTGGGTGTCTAGTCTATCACATTTAACACTGACAAAGATCATGAGGTATGCTAGTCTGTTATCTGCTTGTAAAAATACATTATTACATGTACAATAAGGATACTTTATTACTAGTGTATTAGACTGAAAATACAAACAAGGCAGGATAATTGCAACAAGGAAAAAACACTTTTAATGTGAAAGCTGAAGCCACTGAAACATTTTTTCATATTGATAAAAAAAGCTTTGGGTTACAGTGCAGGGAGCAACCCTCTTGATTAGGAAACGAGTCTGTGTTAAGTAACTACCTTATAGTACTTGTGTTGAAACAAACCATTCCAGGGATTAGGTTTAGCCATCTTTTTTTTTTTCCTGCCTTTGTAACAGGTGCCACAGTGCTCATCCTAGTTTATGACATTTCAGAATCCTCTGTTCTTCGTTTCACTTGGTGCAAAACAACATTTGGGGACTCGATCAACTCTAATAAAACATCTCAGTATAAAAACTTCATGGTCTTAAGACAACCTGATTGGTGCACCATCCAGCTTCGGGTTTGGGCTACAGTAGGAAGAACACGAGCTGTCCTTAGCTGGCTCCTCTTGGTTACTAGTGCTATTAAGTGAGGATATAGGCCATTTGTTTTTTCTAAATGGCAGTTCCTCATGTCCCTACTTCCCCTTATTTATAGCAAAATAAAACTAGAGTTTTTGTTCTTTGGGTAGTGTAATTATTTGTGTCTCTAAAACAGTACGCAATGCTTGCATTGTGGCTATGCTAATATAGATTATCAGAGACATAGCTAAAAGACATGTCCCGTTCCACTAAAATGTACACTTCTGAATAAGCCCACTATTATTAGTGCTATATGGTGTGAACTGCCCCATTTTCCTTTATTTCAGCTTTAAATATATAACACTCTTTAGACTAACTACTCCCCACCACCCTTTCAAAACACTGATTCCTGAGGATGGAGCTCTGCCTTTCAGAGAGAAAAATCAAAGCAGCTCAGGCTCCATCTTTCCCAGACACAGACTGTCTGAACCCCAAAGTGATCCGGTACCAGCCTGCAGAAAAAAGCCCCAGCTCTAAGCCCTCCTGCATCACAGGTGCTCTGTCACCCTGAACCACAAGGTGACTCCAATTTGGAGCGTCTTAATGACAGACACACCTGATTCTCCTAACAGCTTCTGAAGGGAATCAAATATGGAAGAGAATTGCTATTTGGCACTGTCGCAGCCACAGACTTTGTCTCCCAGCTTTCACAGAATTCCAGTTCAGTGGCACTTCAGCTCTCATTGTAAACAAGATTTTTGTTCCTTGAGTGCTACAAAAAGAGGGTTCCAGTCTCACAAGTACGACAAGCATGATCATTCTGTCACCCAGAGAGTTTAAAGGAATGTATAGATTCCAGAAGATAATTAGGAGTTGGAGGGTCACCCTTTATATTACAGTTTGAGACTGAGCTAACCTGATGCTCCTTTCCCTGGCAGCGACTAGGTATTTGTTCCCACACAAGCAAGTCTCTGAAGCCAGCACGGTGCTCTCTATTACACTGTAGTTTGTGCTCAGAGCAAATGGGAAACGGAAAATGATGAAAAGACATCCAAACTTCACTTGGGAATTTTATATACACATTAAAAAGTTCATCATATTAAGATCAGTTATAAAGTTCTTCCAAGTCTTAAAATCCCTTTTGGGTATTAGCATTGCACAAGATTGATCTGCAAGCCTGGATATTTTGCACCTCAAGAATCAAGAGTAGCCTTTTAACAGCACTCTCTCCTAACACCATTAGGCAATCAAGCCAGCCTGAAACACTGCACTGTGTCAGTATCAGAGGATGCAGAAGTTTTAGAAAAGTTTTTGTCTCTCTAGTCAATGCCCCACTTGAAAGGCCAATACAACAGGAGATGGCAATCCAACCATTGCAACCATTGCCAAATCCTAGTTCCCTGTTAGCACTTAACCACTTTGACCAAAGGAAGCACACGGTAAGACCAATTAGCATTAAAAGAGTGTTGTAACAAGTTATTGTAAAGTTTCTTCATACAAGCATTTGAGACCAGCAGCACACCTCAGTAATTCTTTCTTCAAGACTGAGTAGTAGTGGAAAGGCCTAGTTGAAAGTGCATAAAAGTCAAGATTTTCCCAACTCCCTCATGACCTGTTCTGTCTATAAGTATCTGATCTACCTTCCCATATTTAACACCAGACTTAAAGTAATTATTACACAGCCCTATTGCCGCTTCAGCAGTTGGATTTCTCCTTCTGCTTTGCTAATGTGCGCTTCAATTCCTTTAAGTTCTCTGTCAGTACCTCCACCTCATCCATTCGTCCATTATGCTTGGCATCAAATATATAAGCTTTGATATTATCTATCTGTTGGAGAAGCAGCTCTTCCTCTATAGCCTCCTCTCCAGAGATTTCATTGCCATCCTCCACTTCAAAGGGATTGGTAGAGGATCCCTCTTCAAATGGATTCCCAGAATTCCAGCTGCCCCCAGGCTTTTGAAATGGATTTTCATCCTCTTCAAAAGGGTTCGAAGTACTGCCAGCTGCTCCTTTAGTTTCCTCCTCCTCCTCCTCCTCATTTTCAAATGGATTATAGTCTTTTTTATCACTTTGCAGAGCTGTGTTAGAGAAGGAAGCCACTGGAGAAACATCTTTGGCAAATGGGTTGGCAGGGTTCTCCTCCAACTGAGGGGTATCTGCTTCATCTTCAAAGGGGTTCAGAGAGGCTGTCCGGTCTTGCTCTTTGTCACACTGTGGGACGCTCTGGGATCTGAGTGTGGAGATTAAGTGCTCTTTAGCTGGCAGCTGATCAACAAGAGGTGTTTCAGAACTTGGATTCCCTCTGATCCGAGTAGTACCGAGATCTAATGCATGTGCTGTCAAGTTCGGATTCTCTTTTGCAACTTCATGCTGATGCTGCCTGACTTCTCTGAAGTCTAAGGAACGTGTCCTTGAATGCTGAGACATTAATTTGTGGTGTTCTCTTTCCCACTCTTTTTCACGAAGGATCTGAAGTTCCTCCCTCTGCATCTCTTCCTCTTCTGCCTGTTTTTTAGAAAGCTCAATTGCTTTCAGAGTTTGTTGTTGATCATATTCATCCTGAAGCTGCCTCAGGTTCTCCTGCAACATATGGACCTCGTCTATCCTATTAGCTGCCTTTGCTTGCTTAATAAAGGATGTGATATTGTCAATCTGCTGAAGAAGTGGGTCTGCTATCTCACTCTGTCTGGATATGCTAGATGTAGGTAACCAGCCTTCCGATTTCCTGACCGCTCCTTTTTTCAGGTGTGTTGCATCACCATTGACTGTGGCTGCAGATCTGGAGATAAAGTCCTTCTGCTTTTCCTCTTGTTTTCCTTGTGTTTCGAGAGCCACCTAAAACAAAAAACATGCAGCTTGAAAAATTCTTTTCCAAATATCCATAGGTACAAGGAGTTCACTGGTCTTAGACATTGCTGGTTGTCACTGAAAGGGATCATTTTTGGTTACTTTGCAGAAAATGCTTATTTTCCTAATATTACCTGAATACTTGCCTTCAGTTTGTTTGGTGACAATATTGATCAAAATCCAAAGATATCTGCCTCTACCCACTACAGGGCAAGCAGGAGCAGCAACAGCGCTTTGTACAAAGAAAAAATACCTAATGCAACTGTGCAAAGAGTGGCCTAGATTGGGACAGTAACTGTATCGCATCTGACTACAGCAGACACCTGTAACAGAACATCTGCCACTGACATCGTTAGCTTTTGGAGTGCAACGATTCCAATTTCTCAACTTCTACCTCAAGATAAAGCTAATTTAGTTTCCAATTAATGATGTTCTCCCTTCTAACTGAAAAAAGAACCCAAACAAACTCTCCCTTATTCTAATGTCCTTTTTCACCACTGAAAAAAAATCTCCAAATTCTGCTTGTGCAGAACAATTTGAAAACCCACGTGAACTAACATCATTAGTGTAGGGCTCACTCTGCATGCACCACAGCAGGAACAGCGCGTGCACCCACGTCACTGCTGCTGCCTAGAAGCCTTCAGCTGCTCAGAACACACCTACTTACCTTCTCCATAGAACACAGTGTTACATGAATCCCTGAAAAAGGGTATGGAACCATCTGCCTAAGAAAATTAAAAACTGAACTCCAATATTAAAGGCAAGTTATGAAGCCCCTGACAAGACATAACAGATCTTAACCTGTCTTACCATATGCAGCCTTTTCTTCTTCAGTTCTTCATACTGATCTCTGGTTGGCAGGGACATTAGGCCAAGCAGTTTTTCCTGGCAAAATTGAAATATTTAGTGTTGTTTGCAGGCATTCAGCTAATTTTCAACTACTTGAAAAGAGATACGACCAACAGAACACCGCACTGACAAATGAAAGGCACTTCTACACGGCAGTCAGTGACGGCACAGAGGCTCGCACCACAGCCAACGGACGTGCCAGGATTCACATGGCCTTTCAGGTCCCCAAACTCAATGCTTACTACACTGTCTGTGCTGACACCACCTCGTTTAAGGCTACCATAAGTCATTAGGTGAACTACAGAAGATGTATAAAAGTAAATTTCCTTCTGAAGTAGTTTCAAACTACGAGGATGCCTGGCAAAGAAGAGAACACTATATAGAATTTACATTCAGCTTATAACATATGCTCCATTTACCTGAACAAAAAGTGTAGCTGAATATCTTATCATTCTCTGAAGCTGTAGTGTTTTAGGATGAGGTTGGGGATCTTCATGCAAGCCTAGACTCAAAATCTTCTTACTGAACCAAAGCAAACATACAGCCTCATCAGATCAGGAACAAGGGTCAGTGAAAATGCAACAGAAGGGCAGAAAGACAATATTGGATGAAAACTTTCCAGTTTTCTTATAGGTAAACCATTCTGGATATTACAAGTTATAACACTTTCCACTCCCACCCCCTTTTTTTAAAAGAAAAAAAAAAAAGAACTGTGCCACTATTTGTTTCTTCTCTGCATTGTTATTCCCACTACAGAGGAATCCACGATTTTTTAAGACTTTAAAGGGAAGTAGGAATTGACAGTGCACAGGAACAGCATGTACCTTTTCACATGCTCTTTACAACTGAGCAGACAAATTGATTATCCATACGAATAAGCAGGTATGTGCTACACAAACAGACACCAACAGCTGATAAAAAACTACAGAGAAGTCATACCAGAGGAGATGCACACATGCTGGGACAGGGGAAGGAAAGGGAGGGCTCTTCTTTTACCTTAAGGCATCTATGAATTCATATGCTTTTTGAATCTCCACCCTCAAGTCATTAGCACGTTCAAGATTGTAGGTTGTCTCCCCAGCACTAAGAAATAAATACAACTTCAATGTAAGTTGTGCATCCAGCTCACAACACAAACACTAGAAGCTATCCCAAGATGACTAAGATTCAAGAACAGCTGACGCTACAGGGGCTAAATGGTTTATTCCATGCTCGTGTTTAAAAACCCTTTGTGACAGAAGTGGAAAATGACTGTTATCTTGTGAAGATGGACATTTCATAGAAGATAATTTTATTTTTGATCGTATGATTATTTACTATTACAGGAGAAATTGCATTTTAACACAAGAATGCCACTCTACCAATGATATCTAAAATACACAATTTACTAATCTACATACATAATATACATCCTGTGTATACATAGTACATACATAATATTATCTAATATACACAAATTTAGCAAATGTATCTATTTTGTATTTTTTTTCCAGGCAACTGGGTGCAGAAAAAACAGAATGTTTGAATAGGTAACCACACCATTATAGTTATCTCTACTAACATTTGTCAGAAAGCAAAAGGCTACAACCCCACAGGGGTATAATATTTATGATGCAAGTAACGGGCAGCCCATGCAGGGACACGACTGGTTACGTGCGCTTTACCAGAGAAGTATGACAGTGGCACCTCAGTGGGAAGTGGCTTTTAAAAAAATAAAACAGACTTCTCCTCTGCGTGCAATGTTACCATTAATAATTAATTCAGTACTACTTTGAAGAGCATCCAAAAAATGACAGATAACCTAATACTGCTTTTTCTTGTAATTTACACACTCTTGCAGCCTTAGCACACCATTTCCTTACTCCTCCTTACACTTTTGGGGAGGAAAATTACATACATTCATAAACAAAATCAGCAAATGCGGCTTACTTTAGTGATTCTGCCATCCTTATGTATTCTGGTGCTTTCTGGTCAACCTTCTCCATGCAGAGTCGGAGTTTCTTGTTTAAAACAGAATGTGTAAAAAAAGAACTTATATTAAAACACTAGTGCAAGAAAATGCTGTCTGTGTTAACCATGATGAAAGCCATTTAGCTGTTTGGGATGACAAGACTCTCCAGTCACCTTCAGAACACAGATAGCGTGGTCAGAAACAGAGACGCCCTGGTCCTCTGCAAGGTGAATCCTGAATTCAGAAGCTGATTTAAGGGATGACTTGGACAACTTCTAGCCTTAAATCTCCTCACAAAGAGCACCAACAGGAACTCCCATTAACACTAAGCTGAGGGGTCTGTGGACTCTACCGAAGAGATACCTGCTGATTGTCAGTCCCTGCTTTCAGAGCACATCTGAATACCATGTTCCAGCCATATGCTGTTGACTGATGTAGATGGTTCAAAAACGCATTTGCCAGTGTGAGGACAAACACCACTGACAACATCAAGTCCTATAGCTCCAGTGCAGCCCATCAAAGTGCACAGCATATCGCTGGTTTAAATGAGAACTGTTCTGAAGAATCCCAGCTGACAAAGTTAACAGTTTTGAGAGAGTGCCATCTCAGAATTATTAGTTCCAGATGATGAGAATGAAGTTGTATCTTAAAATAACATTTGAAGTTACCGTGGGATATAAATACTATAGGGCAGCCAGCTCCATCATTTCAGATACATCTTTGTAACGTGGCACAAACACCCAATAGAGTCTATTCTAACCCAAGTATGTATTAAGTCCTGAAGTAAGAGCTTGGACACAAGATAACAAGCCAAAAGTCAAGTAGTGACAACTGCAGATATATACACTGAGGACAAAAGCAGCAAAGACTCTGATTTACCTCATAGAGTTTCACGATCTCTGGAGTGTATTCTTTCTCATCAATCTGTTGTTCTCTCTTCAACAGGGTATCTTTGCAGTGCTGACAGCAACGGATTCGGTCATCGTCCTTCTCATCCAGAACTGAGCTCACGCTGCTTATGCTGCTAATGCTGCCACGGCGGGAGCCATGGACACTATTCGGTGAGGAGTTCGGGCTAGTATGAGAGCCCAAGGCCTCTTTGCTGGCACTAGTGAGTTTGCCTAAAATTTTACAGGTAATTTTACAGTGACTGGAGAAGCCAACAGACTTTACCAGCACAAGTCAATTTACTTTATGAGAAACTTTACATTCAGTTAATATTAGAAAACCAAGTTGAAACAGTCTGCTGAAAGACATGCCAGAAACCCATGACAACCAAGACTGCAAGTCAGAATTTGGATCTTCTCTGTAAATGCTGCTCCGTTCTAAAAGCGCCAGAGAGCCGGCTGCCGAGAACCACCTACTTTGCTTATGCCTAGAAGCATCCTCATGATGGAGCTTGCACAGTTATAGAATAGAGTGTGGAAAAAAAGGTACATTAATGCTGTCCATGTTTTGTGCTCAAATGCTCCAAAAAGCCCAGTTAATGTCACTTATTTCCACATAAAATACAGTCTCCTCTCCAATGCACTAGATGAGGAAATTAAAGTTCAAAGGGTTTCTTAAGGGCTTGTGGGTGAATTTCCTTAATGTCAGCATCTCGATAACCATGGGCAGGAAATACCCACGGTAGTTCCAAATCTGAAGAAGGAACAGAGATGAAGAATGGAGAAATCATTCTTCGTGTTCTGTTTCACAGCCAAGTGTCAGCATAGAACTGAATGACACATTAAGGACCAGTATTACCAGCAGCTTTTTTTCTAATGGCAAAAAGCCAGGATCCAGTTAGCACCCTAAGTGAGCTAAGGAAAGGAGGAATTAGCACCACACATCATACTTACTTGCCAAAGGAAGACTGACAAGCTCCATGCACTTCTTGCACATAATAGACCCACAGAGGCGGCAATGGTGACGTCGGTTTCGGATACTGAACTTAGTGCCACAGTCTGGGCAGAAGGGAACATCCTGGTCGCTGACCCAAGGCACAACAGACTTCTCTATAGCTGATCGGGCAAGAGGGGATACACACAGTGTAAGATACTAATTCAATTAATTCCTCAGCTGATTAAACCAAAGGAGCAAATAGTCTGAAGTAAACCCATACCAACCTCTTATTTTAGCTGACTCGGTGTTTGCTCTGTCAAATGATGTAAGCTATAAGATAAACAATGCATTAAAGAAAATTGTTCTTTGCAAGAAAAAAAACCCAACCCAACCCAGCACAACAAGAAAAAGGAACCTGGCATTTTTAAGAGGTCTCGGCCTCTTTCACACCAGATTCCTGCAAGTCTCCTATTTATTTCTAATGCCATATTCATACAAATAGTGCTGAACAACGACTGCCAAACCTGTACAAATCAGAGCATTTTGGACCTAATCCTTACAGCATCCAACATTACTGCATGTGAGCCAAAATCTAAGTATATCATTGGTAAGATTTTGAAGAATGAGAAGCTGGAACAATCACGACAAAAACATTAGGGAGAAATTTAGTAAAGTAAAAGATTGAGAAAATATACAGGAAAACAGATGTTTCATGAAGCATGTGGAAGTAGCATCTTCAGCTTGAAGATGCAAGGAACAGAAATCATATTCCCTTTATAAAGCACACTGCTAGATAAATGGGCACACTTCATATTTAATTTTTTTTTTTTTTTTAAAATCTAGGAAACATTCAGAAGGCTGGAATATTAAAAAGCAGCAAATTTACCTTTTCTAGCCTGATTATTAACTTATTGACTTCAACTACGTAGTGATCGATCCTGGCTGCTCGGTGTTTCTTGAAATCAGAAAGATGGCTTCTCATAGCACCTGGAGAGACAGCAATAAGTTTTCAGTCACCCAAGTGCTCTGTAGGGATTTAAATGCCTCTTGAAAGACAGCTGTCACTTCTCAATATTTATTTCTCATGTTCAAATTAAATTTTAAAGACACATTAGAATCCTTATCACAGTACTGCTCTAAATAAAACATGCAGATTAAAGCCTAAACTCCAGGCTAACAATAAACAGTATTTTACTTCTACTACAGAAAGCAACAGATGCTGTGTTAAAGAGAACACCTGCAACAATTTTTTCCTCTCTCCATCCCTCAGTTACATTTGGCAAGCCATTATCAACTCATAGTGTTCTCAAAACCGACTCCCTTTAGTTTCCTGGACATGTGCTGAACAAAGGGAACAGGCAAGTCCAATGATTACTGGAGGTTTACGCAACAGCAATTTCTCCTTCAGACTTCTAATCATCCTCCCACCTTTAGAGGTCTGAATCAAATCCTTGATGACAGTTCAGACTTACAGAAAACTGATCACCACGTACACAAAAGAACAACATAGTATGTATTTAAGAAATGTACGATTTGTACTCAACAATGTTGGTTTCAAGTTTAAGTTTTGAATCCTTTTCCGAGTAAGATGAGCCTGGTATGAAAAATCAAAGTTTCAGCCAAAATTAAAAAAAAAAAAACCTATCCGCAAACACACAAAAAACACCCCACTTTCTTCTGACTGGTATAACATAAAATTAGATGTTGCTTTTGCTACTATCTACGTAAGTGTAAGAATCTCACTTCTCCGTGCTAAGGAAATAACCAAAAAACCTCCAAAGCTGAATTCATAGGAATGAAAGGGCCCCTTCTGGGTAACTGAATTCAGCTACTGCTTTGGAGACATCACACAGTCCTTTTCACAAACCCACCAAATCCCATCCTAAAATCCGTGAGGTGCATCTTCTCCACTCTGGTCTGAAAACAATTCTCACTCCTCTAATATTCAGAAGCCTTCTACTAGTTCACTGTCTCTATTTTTAGCTAATATTTATACTATGATTGCTACTGAAATGTATATGAAAACCATAACCCCACGACACAGCAAATCAAATGCAACACAGACACAATTACATGCTTCAGCAGTACTGTATCACTTCCACAAATCAGTTTAGAAGAAAAGTTATGCCCACTGCGTATCGCTTTCCAGCTGTCCTACCTACTTCCTGGGGCTCCCACATGTATGGATCTACTCCACCATAGCTGAACGACTCGTATCGTTCCTGAGATCCAGAATCAGTTCTGTCATCTCCTTCGCGTTTCAGCAATTTCTTCTTTGCTCTTTTGGCCTTCTGGACAAGATCTGAAAAAGATAATCCCAAGTTATCAAACATGGCAGGGAGTCACTGAGTATTTGTCCCGCAAAACAATATGGAATATTCCTCATCCTTTAGCACAAGTCTTTTTCCTTGATGAAAAGTTTCTCCTCAACGTGTTCTGTTTAGAACTAGAATGCAGTTCAGAGAATAACAGATGACATGAAATGCTCTTTGTTACCTGTCATAAAGTATCACTAATGTCCTAATGACAGAAGAGCAGTTTGAGACACTCCACTCAGTGAGTAAGCTGTCTTGAGCTATGGGACCCATTTCACAGCATTCTGGGACATCATACAGATAATATCTTAATTCTCAATGGTTTTCCTAGGATTCAGTGACGTTCAACACATTCTTTGTCTTGTTGCAGGAACTACAAACTAAGAATTTCAGTATGCTTATACACCTAAAAAGTGTCAAAAGTACTAAACAGCCCACTGCATTATCTCACATGAATGCAAGTGAGAGAAGGGCAGTCTCCTGGGGAGGGGGAAAAAAAAAAAAAAAAAAGACTGGGAAGTTGAAACTTTGGATCTTTTATTGTCCTTGCTGCTCTGTTGCTCTCTGGATGCCAGCAAAAGTTGAGGGCACTACTTTTCTTGCCAAACACATTAACTGTTTCCTTGAACTAGACACTTTGTACGTCAAGCTTTCCAACAAGCTGCTGGGAACCATGAGTTAGCATGTCGGGAATAATGTAACAACTATGCCTGGGCTGAAGGTAACCAGCAGGCGAAGG